ACAATCAAAGTTGGTTTTGAGTTTACAAAAACGTACAACCCCTTTTTCCAGGACAGAAAAGGAACAAGGCCAACACGTTCAGCGTCCGAATTCTCCAAAAGAATTATTTCGAATCTAGATACAAAACGCAAACAAACACTAAAGCTAGCTAGTTTGGTCCTACACCGTTTAACTTACCAATTTTTCACTTGGTTCGGATTCTCTGGGAGTGCCAGCGATTCCCAGACCACCTGTAATCAACATCTAAAATACAACATTGTCATGTTATTAACAAGCCAAACAATGTGCCCTCTTTCCACCCCTCCCCACCCCGCCCCCCGTGCATCTCCTTAAGCATTCACTCAATAGTACCCGAAGCACCTTTAATTGTTTACTTCAGAGATATTCACGTGTCAATCGTAAGTATAGAGGCAGCTTATTGTGGACTGTAGGGCATAATTTACTTATTTACAGCATTTTTAAGTATATTTAAAACCTTGCAGACATGTCTTCACGAAATGTGTACGACTCAGAAAGCTGCAGTTTGGTTGCGCTGCTTTCCGTTGAATAAATCAAAGGAGGAAACGTGTAGTTTCACTTCGCTGGCCTAGATTTCTGTGCGCAAAATATGTAACATAAACCCGGCGAAAGTGTTTACATAGGAAAAGAGTTTAACACCCACAGGATTGGTACACCAACCTGTCCGCCGTTTCATTGTTTTGGAAATGAAAATGCTCAATACCTGTTCCCCCAAAGCCAAGGCGATCCAGACTCTTGTTCGTAAACAGAATAAGTGTCCAAGTTTTGGTAATAAAAGTACGTCGTCTCAAATACCGACGTAACAGGCAACGTTTGTCTCGAGTTACACGGTCCAGAATCGCAGGGTTCCGGTTAGTATAAAACACGGACTGCGGACTGCAGACTACGGACTGGGTATAAAACACGGACTGAGGTATAAAACGAGGACTAAGCATTAACCACTGGGTATAAAACAGGGACTCAGGTGTAAAACGCGGACTGCAGACTAAATACGGCCTACCGACTGCAGTCTGTGTTTTTTACTGACCGGTCGTAACTAATATTACGTAATACCTGTATTTACGCAAACCCTCTCGTACACACGTTGCTTTGCGATCAATTCATTTGTTTTCCCCTCTGCTGGGGAGAGG